TTTCCCTTTTTCTTATATAACCCTCCAGATTTGCTGCTAGAGTCATGAGAAACATAGTTTATTGAGTGAGAGAAATTCTTCTTTATAGCTTCTTCTTCTTGAGTGACTATCGATATCATCTGGTCAACAGACCATTCAGCTTCTTATGAGTTGTACGAAGTCTTCAAGAATGCATACTTTGATGGCAGTGATTGAAGAATACAGTAAACCAAGGTACTTTCACCCAAATCAATCCCATATGACTTAAGCTTGTTATAGTAATGAACAAGCTTTAGAATGTGCTCCTTGACACCAGAAACTCCATCATATCGAGTGTTGTCAAGAAGTGACAGATAATAGTTCTTTTGAGTCTTGTCAAACTTCTTGTATTTGTTACTAATAGCTTTTAAATACTCTATTGCAGTATCATTTTTAGGAATGCTGTCCCTAATTTCCTTTTCAATTGTGTATTTGATGATCGCTAGACAGATCCGATTGGACTCACTCCATTATTTATGGAAGGCTATTTTGGAAGAGAGATGTGCAGGCTTGGGCTCTCTTAGAGCTAAATCTTTCTCAGAAATGGTCAAATACATATTAAGGGACTCGTTTCAGTCATCATAGTTAGTCCCATTGAGAACCTTCACAAAGGATAGTTGCGTAAAAGTGGAAAATGAAGAATCGCAAAACAAAAAATGGGAAATATTAATTATGCGTGCACAACATAATTATAAAATAGAATTTCCCAACAAGCGATTATCAATTATGCAACTATAATCATGCACCAAGAAGGCTCATATACCATAAAAATTTAGCTCATACAAAAGTTCATAAAAAATAATGTATTAAACATTTCCATACCTATAGGGTACAATAAATATTTAACATATTAAAGGAGTGCTATTAGCCTATCCTCCAAGCTAACCATCAAAATCACATTAATAATGTCACACTTATGGGGTATGTCCATTATTAATGCTATAAGATCCTAAATATCATTAATAATTCACAAAGTCATAAATTTTATGACCTTAGGACAAAAAAAATAAAAAAAGAAGAATATCCTTAGGGTCTTTTGGGAATTAAGAAACAAATTTAGGACTTAAGTGAAATTTTGAAAGATAATCAGGGGTAAATAAGTAATTCTAAAAGAGATTTGGGTCAAAATTGCAATTCTGGAAGTTTAAGGGACTAAACTGTAATTTATAGAAATATCATGGGGCTAATTCGTAAAGTTAAGAAATTATGGGCCAAAGGAGGTAATTTAAACTGAGTCGAAATGCAATTAACTGAAATTTTTTTTTTGGGCTAATTCATTTTGGGCCCAGAACCTCCTTTTTTTTTAAAAAAAAGCCAAGATCTGGGCCCATACGAAAATGGGCCCAGAACCATGGAACCGGATCCCTAGGATCCGATTCCTGACCCGTTTTTGGGTCTTCCCCAGCCACAAGCTGGGAACGAGGAAGGGGGGAGAGAGGCCGACGTGCATGGAGTTCCGGCCAGACCAAAAGGCCATCGCCGGTAGCCATAGGGACGACACCGTCCCTATCTCCGGTGAAGGAGGATGACGCCGTGAACACTCCTCTCGTCGGTGATTTGACAGCGCTAAACCAAGGAAAAAAAAGAAAAAAAAAAGAGAAGAGGGAAACAGTTGCTCCGGCAACCCCAGAAGCAACCAGCCACCACAAACCGCCGGCGCACATGGAGACACTACCTTCGTCCGGTGAAGCTCGATGACGATGGTAACAGTCAAGTGCAGCGGCGATGACAGAACCCCATTTTTTTTTTTGAACAACACTGAAGAATAACTCGAAGAAGAAGCATGAATTCAATTCACATACATAAATAAAAAATTGAGATATATATAAATTTAAAATTCATAACCAGGCTCTGATGCCACGTGTTGAATTTAATATCTCAATTTATATGTATAATTAGATATGAAAATAAAGTAATTCATGCGTACCTGAAGAATCCATGAGTGCTAGAGAGATCTCGATTACCTCGAGTATAGGCAGGTACACAACCCACAGGTCCCCAGAGTTTTCAGAGAGTTCAGAGATAATGGAAGTAGAAGAAGTGAGTCGTGTGTTTGTGGTTACCGACTAATCGTCTTATATAGATCAAATCAGTAACCGCCTTATTAAATAATTAAATAATTATATTATCTATTATCTCTGACTCAGTCAGTTAAGAGATAGGAAATAACTGACGGCTACTGGGTTGTGGGTTAGGCCTCTGCCCATTGGGCTCACTTGTGTGGTCCACCTATCACGGTTCACACAAGATCATAAAGACCAATTTATTGGGCTTGTTAATTAATACTAATTCATACATAATATTCCAACATTACCTACATTTGAATAAAGAGAGAATAGTTTCATCCATTAAACCAAAAGTCAACTTTAAATTCAAATCATTACTTTACTACTCGAAAATCCTTTGCAATCAGAGTTCATTTTGTTATGTCTGTGCGTTTCAAGCTACTTCACGTATCAGAAATCAATTGGCTTTGAGAAGTTTGTTTGTCGGTTGTCTTTTTAGCATATACAAAACTAACATCTTCACATACCATAAAATTAGGAGGCCATTGTTTTTTTTTTAATTTTTTAAACACTAAAGTTGATTAGGACTTACTTTGCAATAACATCTAATCGCTTAAATTGATTGATTGAAGAGTATTTAATGTTCTTTTTAGTTTCTACCGAATTCTTCCATATCCTTTTTCATCTTTGTTGTCAATTATTTTTCATCAACCACTGTCAAAGAATTGCGCAATGATAAACACTGTGATGAAGAGATAATTTAACAACTGCTAAGATAATTCATTATTCACCAGCCGCATGAGAGGAAGATTTGAAAGGAAAAGAATAGCCTTTATTTTCACAATGAAAATTAAAGTTTCATTAGTATTATTTTTACCCCAATTTATGTTCTAATTATAATTTAAGTTTGTCAATGTTTTTATTGTCCCGTGCATTGCACTAGAGTTAGAATCTAGTTATTCTTTAATGGACATTTAGCCTCGGTTTGCTTAACGGAGGCCACTTTTTCGGTTTTGTAGGGTAATACATGGAAGACAGAGATCCGAGCCTGACCATGTGCTTCGATTATTTTTTGTTGTTGCACTCTCTCTCATGTACTAAGCCTCTCAAATTATTAATATTACTAAGCTGCCTATATAGTTTGAATATATTTACATTTTTCTGAATCTTGAAGAATTATTTTCTTACACTAACTTAATTAGTATTTAAGAAATAAAATTAAGATTGACTAATATCATCAAAAGTATTATATGAGGAAGCTTTGAAAGGTATAGTAATAATTCTCAAAGCAACATATTAAGCAGCCCATGGTCCAATGTTTTCCTCTTTTTTGTTAGAGTAACTGACAGAAAACTTTTCTCATATTATAGCGCAGCAGTATGTTATGTAAAGTCATTGCTTACTGTGGCTGATCATTTAAAGCATCATTAATATGTTGATAAATTTATTATTGAACACAATATTAGATGTTAAGATTACATTTAAATCATTCAATGTGCAAAATTAAAATTAAATTTTTATCAAGTTAATGATAATTTATATTAAAAAAGTTGCTGAAAAATTTATCATAGATATGATAATTGGTGATTTTTATATTATAAAAAAGTGATGAGAAAAACTTAAAAATAAAAATACATACATATTTTTGTTATGTATTTGTTAAAGTGAATTTACTTAATGAACTAAGAGTTGTTGTTGTATTTGTTAAATTGAATATAAACGTATACATTAAAATATTTACGTTATGTTAATAATATATACTATAGATTTATTTCCTTAAATTATCATACATATCATATCATCTTGCCACCTAATTAAAATTCTTAGCTCCGCACTTGCTTTCCATGTAATGGACTTTTGAAAGAAGGTCAATATAAAATATAAATTAAAGTATACTTTTAATCTTTTTAAATTTATATAAAGTTTTGTTTTGATCTATTAATTTTATAAAATGCTTTAACCCCAACTCCATTATCTTTATCACAAAAAATTTTTACATTGAATTTTTAAAAAATTAACAAAATATTTTAAAATATTAACTTATCAAGTTTAATTTTTTTAAATAACAATAATTATAAAAAAAATAATCATCTGAAACTAATGTTATTATAATTAAATGACTAAAAATATATTCTATAACATTAAAAAATTAAATTAAAAATTTATATAAAGTTAGAGGATTATTTTTAACTTGAAAGATATGATAAAATCGGGTAGTTAAATCACAATAAGGAAAAATTGCAATATTTTTTGAGCTGAACTTCAGCGTAAATCTCCTGCGGCAATATTAAACCATTCGCACAAGACATTAAACAAAGCCCAACTTCCACAAATGTTATTTGTTGGTTGTGATCATTGTAGTTATTCATTCCTTGCAAGCAATGAGTGCTTTGAAACTCTATAACCATATTCCATGCTGATGTTAATCCTGGAAGAATGGACGAGCCCTGCTCGTTTTGTTGGTAGTCCAACTATAGGTACCCTTGGGTGAAATGGTTAGATTTTCTAACTAGATTGCTAGGTTATATCGGAGAATTCAGTCGTCCAGTGGGATTAAGATTCACGGGTTTTGCCAAGAAATAAAGAACAAGGGATATTTGAAGGAAGCTTTAACATTTGAAAACCATTGAGGAATATTTTGTTATCTTTGATTCATTCCTCATTTTAAACGTAACCTTTTAATAAATTATAGATTAGGGTAAACTTCATTGATTTGTTTTAATTACTTGGGTTAGAGCCCTAACACCTCATCGTTTGTATAGGCTTTATCATTAAATGAAATTATAAGTTTGATTTGTCTTTGCTCGCACTTCTCTACTTTTCCATATTTCTGTTTACCTGTCCCTCATTTCTCTCCTTTCTTCCCCCTTCCCGTCCCCATTCATTATCACGAGTAGTTACAATACTCCAATCTTCCCCGTTATCGAGGGGATGGATGACAGGAAGGATCAGGACGAACACCCAGAAGACAACGCATTTGAATATTAATTTCAACGTTGAATTTATTAAAATTATGCCCAAAACAATGGAAGAATGTAGCAACAGGAGCATTAGCACAATGCTGGAGCACAAATGAAAGAGAATGACCCACTTATTGATGTGGAACGATCGTATCGTGCATCATTTCACTCTCATCATCTTCACTGTCGGATATTGATGTGTCGTCGTCAGAATCCTGATATGCAAGGAACCGTCAATTCTGGTTGCACGTCAAACTCAATCGAAGTATCAGTGTCAGTTAAACTTAAGGAGAGGAGAAACTAAGTAACCTGGTACTGGTAGTGACGTTGAATACTGCCATAGATGCCTCCTATCGCCCTCATAATTATGTACATGGGTAGAATGATCCCGCTTGCTTTTAGTATAAAGACCTATGCAAACAGTACCCATTGAAGAAAGATTAGGTTTCTAGTGTTGATAATCGCAACGATTTAAAAAGGGAGGTACCTTTCAGTGCTTACCGTAAGAAGTGAAAATGGGTAATCTTCCTTTGTACTTGTAAGCACTACGAAAAGATGTCTCACAAGCAAAATGAGTGTAAACTGCAAAAGGCGGTCAACTTGTAAGAATTAGACAACTCTGCATGTGATGTCATTTCATTTCAGTGCAAGACTCATACTAACGTGATTCCCACCCAAAAAAAAAAAAAGGTGAATACATCAAGAAACGGAGGATGAAAGAAATCACAAAGTATATCACAGAGTCTTGTAAAGCAAGTGCAAGTTTGGGGCTTCAACAGTTAACGCCCAAAAATGAACTACAGGCTAAGGCGCGCAGCATTTTCAATGAATAACATGGGAATATCCACAGGGTCAAACAACAGAAAATATCAATTTCCAAATTGAAACCAATGTATGGGGAGCGTAACGGATTTTCCAGTTGGCAAAAATAACGTATTGTTTGGTGAGTCCTCAGCTCCGTTTCCAAGTCGGTGCAAAACGCGTTTATGCCAATGATACTAGCCATGGTTCGCCAATAATAAATAAGATTAGCGTTGAAGAGAGAGGATACTTACAGATAAAGCCAGTGATCGGCAGCAAGATGCACTTCTATCAGCAGTAGACGTGCACTCGGAGTAATCTTCCTCTGTTGTGACTTCTTCAGCACTGCCCTCTAATCTTGCGCTTAACGGTTCTTCGTCCCTTGGAATTTGCAGGCTATCTCTGTGATAAAGAATTTGCTCCAGTTTTAGTATTGTTAATTAATTAACAACGTTTTTATTGTAAAAAGCAGCTACAATTTATTAATGGAACATGCCAAACGGTAGGCTTAGTCAAGGGTTCACATTTTAGAATTTGAAACGTCCGTTGAATCGTTAGTTGGAAGGCACTAAAGTTCAGTTTGATAACTTTGATTGAGTTGTACGCGGTTAAGTTGCGTGCCTTTGAACCAGAAACCATGACTCCACACATGCCATGGCCCATGGCCACGTCATTAACAATCAAAATGTCTAACTTCTTTTTAAGTGTTTCCTGAGATTTAATATGATCTGATCAACACATTCATTTTAGCCTCCAACACTATTTTTTTTCTATATTGTCTCCAAATAGGAACGATAAATTTAAATTATCCAAAGTGCCAAAACAGGATTTTTTAAGCGGATGATATTCAAATTTAAGTCTGTTTTAGAAGGTACCTGATCGTCATAGCCGCATCATTTGCCTGAGATTTCTTTGGAGGTATTGTATATCCCGGCTCATATTGCTGCAAAAACAAGAAATAAGTTTGTTTTCCTTCTCTCGCCAAATATACTCGTTCTTGAACTTACAAACGATTCTATGTTCTTTAAAGCCGTCACAATCAAAATCTTTTCCCCCCTTAAGTTAAGAAGCTAGATAGAAAATAGAGGTTCGAACGAATAAGAACCAGAAAGTTTGTGATAAGGAGAAACGAATAAACACGCTTATGGGTTAGCGGAGAGACTTGTATGTGAAGCAAATCCAGGCAGAGGGAAAACGTTAAGGAAGCACAGAAATTCAAAATTCATATTTTGAAAAAACAGAGAAAAAGATAGGAATTTAGTTTTGATCAGTTATGACACAAAATCAGAAAAGACAGCCGACCCAATTTGCATAACAGTAACAAGAAGAAATCATCAAGACGGCCGAATTGATCAACCTTATTTACTAAAGAGACATAAAAAAATATCAGGGACAACAAATTGAAACAAGAGATTAGATTATTGAAATTCGTACCCGAAGACATATTTCACAAGTGGTGTTTCCTTTCTCGTTGCACCATCTCTGTATGCAATCTCTGTGAGCAAACTGCACAACAACACATAGCCGTTGAAAAGACTTTCCCAGAGTAGAATAAAATAAACGAGTACATAAGAACGAAAAAAAGTCTGGGTTTACCTTAACGGTGCCAGAACAAGCACAAGGAGCTTCAAGACTTTCGGAGCTCTCAAATTCTTCTTCATGACATATTCTGCAGCGGGGAATCCCGGAAAGTAATTTCAAATCATCAACCAATAACACCACTTCTTCCATATTTTTCTCCCACCTTCTTCTCTCTGTTTCTCGGAACAGCTTCGTCCGTCTTTTCAAATTCTGTTTGTTGCTCTGTTTTCTCTCTCCCTCTCTGAAGTCGGGACTTTATACAGCCGAAAGAACGTTGAAGTTCCAAAACTGCCCTTGTACGGGTTTCACAGGTTTTTAATGGAAAAATGACAATTTGGGAACACACAAGAATATTAATGAAAACCACCTATATTAAATTATTGAAGTCCAAAATCTTTATTTATAATTAAAAAATATAAATAATTAATTAAAAAATTTATTAAAAATTCTAAGATTATTTGTATGTGAATACTTTATATGTCAATTTTTTTTTGTCAACATGCCTATAAATCAATTAAGAAATTAAATAATTATACTTGACCTTATTTATAAGGTTAGTTAAAAATTTATAAATGTCAGTTGTGAATAGCAAATCAATCATTTATAAATTTTTTACTATTAAAATATAAATAAATTATTTAAAAAATTTATTAAATATATTTAAAATTATTTATAATATTAATTGAAAATTTATGAAAGTTAATTGAAAATTACAAATCCATTACTTATGATTTTTTACTATCTCCTCAATAAAAGATAGTTGAAAATTTTTATATTGATAATTTAAAGTTTACTAAAATTTATTATGAATCTTAAATCAATTAATAAAAGATACTTCTAAGTAAGAATTTTGATTTATTATTAAAATTTTAATAATTTAAAGGCTTTAATCATCATTAAGGTTCTTATGGCTTTTAATTACCATTTTTTCTTTTATTTTTCAAAGAAAGAGATATATTTAATGATTTAATCCAATATAACGTTTCATGTTTGGCTACAGTGGCATGTTAACTGTTTTGAAACTGGCGAAAGTAGAGGGTGTCTTTGACCTGGGATAACGAAACTTTGTTTTAGCGTCCGGGGAGTGCCTGACACATTAAGGCCCTGTTTGGTACATAGATTTTAATTTAAAGAGATTGGGATTGGGACTGGTGTTGGTATTGGTAGTAGGAGTGAGAGTGGAAATGACACTTTAAAATTATGTTTGGTATGAAGTAATATATGTAGGGAATACTTACTTTTTATTTTATTTTACAATTAAACATAAATTATGAATAGACTAAAATACCCCTTACATTCAAAAAAAAAACCTAGCTTGTGAGGTCTGGAAGCAGTCGAATGCGGCAATCACCATGGCAGCGCAGCTTTAGTTTCAGGTTCAAATGCGGCGGATCTGGAAGAAGTCGACAACGTCTCTGATTCTGATCTTTCCTCTTCCTCCATCTCCTTCTTCATCGATGTGCTACGTCTCTGAATTTTATTTGTCCTCCTTCACCTACGTCTCTTCCTCCTCCGCAATTTCTTGGCAGCGTATAGATCGGAGCTTAAGGCAGCGTACAGATCGAACCTTGAAAAGAGGATTTCATGGCAGCTGGACGGAGTTTACAGATCGGAACGTACAGATCGAAGCTTGCGATTTTATTGCACGAAGAGAAGAGACGCAAGAGAGAGAGAGAGAGAGAGAGAGAGAGATGGGTGAGGGCAATTTGGGCTAGATATTTTCATTCCCAGGAATGATTTTGCAAACCCAAGGGGTGGGTGGTACTGAATAATTCCATGTAAGGTGGGATTAGGATTGGGTTTAGATTGCTTAATGATTCATACCAAACATAAAAAATTGAGTTTTCTTAATCCCAATACCAGTCCTTAGCTTTCAATTCCATGTACCAAATAGGGCCTCAGGGTTGTCGAACAATTCAAACCAAATAAGAAAGGGGAACCCCCCCCAAAAAAAAATCTTATAATTAAAAATTCGAAAAGTGCAGTCACTATTTGACCCGTGGACTTCGTCAAGTTGAGCGGAGAGGCAGAGGCTGAGGCATGCATCTAACGGAGTCCTGTAAGAAAAGCATCCTGCGACATTTTTGGCGTAAGTATTTTCTTTTATTTCTTTTAAGATTTTTTTTTCTTTTTCAAACAGTAAGTCGCTGTGATTGACACGCGGAGTTTTAATTTGTTTTATTCTGAAATCAAAATATTTAACAATATAATATATGTTCATATATTTATATTGATAAATAAATGTTTGGTGTGCATTGTTTCATCTCAAATTTTAAAATTTGATTTTTTTTTGGCCAAAATTTTTTTAAATTTGATTGATGGTGAAATTTTGAAGGAGTGATATAAAGTAAACAGGAAAAATACTTGTTTAAATTCTATAAAAAAAAAAAAGGAGAAATAGAAACAACCACAGGCCCGTATTTTTGGTCCAGAAAAAAGACTGCGTATTTAATTTGACGTTTCCCGGGTGAAGTGCCTTTGCCTACGTGTTGCAGCCATGACTTGAGGATGTTTCCTTTAAATTTATGAGGCGAATTTTTCAAACTTGCTTCCGCCATAGTCAAAGCTGCTTGGGTTGATTATATAACCCGGACCTGGATTACAGTACACACCATACCATCCCTCCATAAATGGTGTCTATTATTTCAACTTTCAACAAGCATGTTCATTCGATTAGCTGGATCGGGGAAAAAGATCTAAAACGAAAGTTCTACTGGCGTTTCGGAATTCAGATAATTGTTGTGGCGCCTCATATTCCTAAATTCACAATTTAATTAAGGGGAGCTCTGACAATAATTACGATTAATCTAAGAGCAGGTTGGTGGGTAATGCAAAATAATTATCGCACTGATTCATTGCGCCAGGTACGTTTTAAATCGGGTGCGAGACTAAATTAAATCCACACCGTCAACGAGCATCCAAAAGAAATAATTGTTAATTTTATACCCATCTGTCTCCTCGGCCAAAAAAGGGAAGTGTTGGAGTTTTTTTTTTTCCCCGACCTGTTCAATTTACAAATGAAGGAGGATTAAGAAGCATGATTGCTGGGCGTCCGCGTTAACAGCTAGAAACTGTGCTGTCCCAGATTCAAATTACTCATCATCAACAGTAACAAATGTTCGGGAAAAGAACGCAGATTTTTTTTTAAAAAAAAAAGGAGAAAAGAAAAAAAGGGTGGGCCCTGCGTCTGTATGATTGTTGAGAGCAACAAACGCGCTCACACCCGGGGCGTGATTCGGTGGGCCCTCCTTGACATGGCAACCCCACGCAGCTCGGGCAGCATTTCTTTTTTGGCAGATTAATAAATTATTAATAATCATGTACGGGCCAAGCGGCAAGTTTGCTCTAAATAGAAGATAAAAACATGATTTGGGAGGGTTAAGTGGAGGTCTAGGAGAAAGCTGACGCGCGTGCTAATCCTTTCCTGGGTCTTATCATCGTCACCCTGAACGTGCTGGGTTTATCCAAACAATAATGAGCCATCCTTGTTACTTCCGGAGGCTCAAGGCCTCTGAATTTGAGCCCTTTTGGTCGGCATCTTTGTGGGGACCCTGGGCCCTTTTCCTGGCAATTGGCACCTCCACCTCAGCCTACACGGCCACCCACACCTCCCTCGTCATTTCAAACATTTGCATTAGCTTTTCACTCTCCTCGCAACAATACCGGCCAACTGTGTGCCCGTCATTAAGTAGAGTCGTGGGAACACCATTGTTTTGCATTAATGATCCAGAGTCGGGGGCATTTGTTGGAGGTTGGTGGCCAACTTGTAAGGTTAGATTAGATGAAGCTGATGTTATCGTTCAGTTTGGCTTAAGTTCACCATCCCAACTAATTTTCTATTTGCTCGCGGTTTTGAACAGAATACCGGGTGTGTCAGAAACATATAGTCTCAAGTGTGATCAGAAGATTTGGGAACTCCTTTACCTTAGCTTACCTGAACTTGAAGATGCAAAGATAATAATTTAGACGTTATTTAGCTACTAAAATTGAAGTATAAAGTTGTAACAATTATAACCATGAAATTGAGATAATTAAGTCTAAATCTAAGTGTAGAATACAAAATGAATACAAAGTGATTCCACAATTGGATCCCTTCTTATATTTGTGCACCCGAGATCGTTGTGTCTAAAGAATTAAGAACTCATTTGCGAAATATCAACTATCATCAAGCACAATTCATTAAGATTTAGGGCATGTCAAATAACGATCTCATGTCTCTTTAATGATCATCCACGTTCAATTGTTTCAAGTTTTAAAGGTTCTATCTATTGACTCAATAAGTGTTGAGCATGAAACCTTATCTAAAATTAAATAGGGTTTTATCTTAGACCTTATTTGGTATGATAGAAGAGTTTTTAATGAAATCAAAATTAAAATTAAAATTAGAATTGAAATATAATTGAATTTTAAAAATATGTTTGGTATGTTAAAAAAAATATATGAAATCCTTGCATTATTTTTGTTTGGTATGTAAGACATGAAAATAAAATTATACTTAAAAGGCAAAAATATCCCTAAAAATTAAAATTAAAATTAAAGTGTGTGTGTGTGTGTGTGTGTGTGTGTGTTAAAAGCTTGATTATGTTTTAATTTCCTGATGTGTTTAGTATATACATAAAATATTATATATAAGTACAATAGTTTACAAAAGAAATATTATAAATACACAAATATATATAATACTATATTATATATATATATGTATGTATGTATTATAATTTATATAAAGACTTCTGTACCTATAGTAACACTAGAATGAAGAACATAAAAACAAAATAAAAGTAGTAGAAAAAAACTAAAGAAACAACCTCAGCCACAACTTTTTTTTTTTTGGTTTTTTGCCATAGTCACCTGCCACATTTGAAAGATCAGAAGTTTGGAATTGGTCCAAAGTTGTGAACTCAATTTTTTATGAGGACAAAATTATCTTGAAGAATAGAATTCAATGAAATTGGTTCAGATTCCATAAGTTTGAACAAGAAAATCAATTCAAGCTTTTTTCATGAAATTAGAATTCATGAGATTTGTAATTTATATGTACCAAACATCACTTTGTTAACATTTCTATTAAGATTCAGATGAATTATTGGACTTGATGTTTCTTATTCACCCCTCTTTTGTTATTTTGAGCCCTTGTCAATTGACATTTTATTTTAAGCCCAAACACTATTATTGGTGAATCAATTGTTTCAATGGGAATTGGAGACTGAAAGGAATCCAATTTATTAAATCTTCTATCTATTTTTTCAGTTCCTAGTACCAATTTTCAAATGCTCGTGTCCATAGTGAAAGAGGATAGGGTTTTTATTGGGTCTTTTGTTTTTTTTCTCCTGTTTTTGGGACTCCCTGCAGCCTCTGTATTTGATTGATTTACAGTTTGAATTCAAAAAAAAAAAAATGCTCGTGTCCGCATCTGAAATTTTGCTATTTGTTTTTTGTTGGGCCAGCCGATACTCAGGTTCAAAGTTTATATAAAGATATGACGAGAGAGGTATGGGTTCTCTCTCTCGGTCAAGGCGTGCCATGAGAGCATTTCAATGGAGTTCCAAAAACAAAAACAAGGCCGATTTCTACTACATGTTGGGCTCCTCTTCCAATGGTGGCCCAAAAAAATGGAGACCTGGGCCCAGAAAAGGGAGACCGGGAAGTGGGCTGCCCTAATTCTTCAGAAACAGCTTTTTGGGAGCAATTTCTGAAACGACTTTGCTTGGGGCTGTGTAAACTGCTTGTTTCAAAATAGAATTTAATAAATTAATGTCAGTAAAAAAAAAAAAGAAGAGGAAATTAATGCAACTCATCCTGTACTTGATATAAGTGCAATAATCAATATAAACATGCTTAGGCCATAAAGACTGTCGATATTGGGCTCAATTCACCAGTGGGCCAGAAGATGGGAGAAGCATGGTCTCAGAAAATGGAATAATGGAGTAAGGGTGGTTGCAGTGTGGCAGAAGGCACTAGATGGTTTCCGCCTTTAATGACAATAAACGTTTTGATTCACGGGAAAGCTGACTTGTAAAGCAACTGGAGGCATGTCATTTACGTTCAGATTGGGTAGATCATAGATGGGTGGCGCTGGATAGAGGATGTCCTCTCGTTAAGTGGATAAGGTGCCTCCCCAATATTGAATGGACGCTCAAGTTGCGAGCCATCGCTCCACGTGTCCAGCCCACACACCCTTGACAAGTACATTTTGTGGGCCACCCATCCACTTGACAAGGCGCATCAACCTCGTTTGATTTTCATTCCAAGCTCCTTGCTCTAATCCAATAATGAAGCATTGTACTGTACCCGTTATTTACTTTTTCTCCGTTACTTCCTTGTCTCGTGACCGTGACACTATTAGCCTGGCCCAGTGCTCTCCATATCTCGCTGACGTTAGCTTGGCCTTTCTCGAGCTGGCCAATCATTTTTTCTTCTTCTGCTTTTTCGGTGTAAAAAGGAGCATGTACTCGGGGGAGTCATCCATTCCGCCATTCCAGGATCAAAATATCTTAGGCTAACTTTTATACCATCCATATCAATTTTTTCAAATATAACAGGAGTATATTTTTTTAATTCATTTTATAAATTATTTTTATCAATTTCATTAATATTAATATAAAAAATAAAAGTGTGTAAAATTTTAAATATATTCTTACATAATAAATTTAAAAAGTAATATTATATAATTTTTTTTGATAAAAAATACTTTTAAATTATATTTAAAAAATTACATTATAATTTATAAATAAAATTAAATAAATTTTTTAAAATATAATTTATAAATGAGACAGGTGGGAATGTCAATTTTGTTCCTGGCCAACAAAATATGGTGGCAGACGCTGGCAAAAGATGGAATCTCAGGTCTCGTTTTCTTCACAGGAAACAGGTAACGAGAAAAGGAAAAAGAAATGGAAAAGACATTTTTTTAATTGGTTATGGTTAGAATGAATTTTGACACCTGTAAACCCATCTACGGGAGAGAGATGGGAAAACGAGTTCCCGCCTAGACCTCGGAAAATATTCTTTGTCCCCACTTTGTCCTTGCCCTCTCTCGACTTCCTCCCTCCTCCGCTTACCAGTTTCAAACTCCTCTGCTCGTGCTTCGGCTCCACCACCTTCAACAGCATCTCCCTCCTTTGCTTCTTCATCCTCACCGTCGGTGAAATCTTCTTTTGGCGTTACACTGTTACAGCTCGTCAAAGAAAGTTGCTGGCCTCCCTCCAGTTTGTTCACATCAACACCCAAAATCTACCTCTTCTATCGCCATTCAACTTCACCCGATCTTATAAAAAACTTCATCAGATCTGTTTTCACTACTCACTAGGTCTATTTATAATTTTATAATACAAATTTGTTGATTTTTTTTAATAAGTTGTTCGATTTATTAGATTTTCTGGAATTATTTTTTCATTTTCTTCCTGATGAAACCATTTCATCGCCCCTCGTGAAGGTCAGGGAGGGAAGAGAGGACAAGAAGAACAAGCATAGGGATAAAATTGTCTTTTCATGTTTTAAAATCATCTTGAATGATATAATAAAAAAAACTTCATTCCCATTTTTTTTCATACCAACCTTACTTTATTAACATTTTTTTTCAATTTTAATGTCATTTTTAATTTTAATTTCTTTTTCAGTTGCTTTTCTATCAAGATGCTTTCATCGAACAAAACGGGCCCTCAAATTCTTCTCTTTTTGATTCAGCTCCTCTTTTTTTCCGGGACTCGGTGCTGAGAGATTGAATGGGATCTAAATCCCCTGACTTTATTTAATTTCTGTCTGTAATTGGCTTTACCTTCCTTTTATTAAAAAAAAAATTATGACCATCCATGAAAAGATCTTACCGCCCTATCCCTCAATATCTGGTCGTCCGTGTAAAGACAAAACTCAAAAGGTGGTAATTATCAACACGTTGCTTGCGTTTTTTTAATTATAGCTATTAATTATTAGTACTATGACTCAAACAAAAGCGCTAACGTTATACATTAACGGATAAGTTGGTCAAATATATATTAATTGACAAGCCTCGGGTATAACTGAGCATTGCGTCCAAAATTCAAAACTCAAAAAATCAAAAACAAAATGTATTTTTGGCTATAAAAAACAAAAAATAATATTCTGAGCATTTTTTATACTTTGTTACCTTTTATAAAGATTTTAAAAATCAGAATGGTTTGGACTGGTTCGATCGCTTATAATTAGTTTACTGTTTTTGAATAACTTATATATACAAAACCAAAACACAAGTTTATCCCAAATCATAAAAACTAATATTTAAATAAGGAGTAGTTATCTAAAGGGAAAGAAAATTTATAAATTTATCGTTTTATTTTCTTACAATAATAATAATAATAATAATAATAATAATACTTAAGAATTTTGGAGTAAATGAATTCGAGGAAAAATTTGATGACCATTACCCCACCTTTTTTAGCCCAAAGGTAATCTCCGAGTCGTTTTCAGGTTGACTTCGATAGAGTCGGAAATTTAAAACCAGAGGACTAGAAACCAAACGATGGGAAAACCAGAGGCAGCGAGTATATAATCCGCATCCATGTCAAAATTTTATAGGCCTAGAAATTTCTGAAGCCATACATTAATCAGATTAGGTTGTTCAATTTTAGGGTTGATCGATCTCTGAAGCCATACATTAATCAGATTAGGTTGTTCAATTTTAGGGTTGATCGATCCTTGATAATGGAAAAGGAAGGGCAGAAGATTATGGTGGCGGTTGATGAGAGCCAAGAGAGCATGTATGCGCTTTCATGGTGTCTTGGCAATCTCATCTCCGACACCACCACCGACCAGCTCGTCCTCCTCTACGTCAAGCCGCCCCCTTCTGTTTACTCCTCCTTCGATATTCCAGGTTTATTTCATTCCCCTTTCTACGGAATTCGCCGACTATTCCTTGATTTATAATTTATACCTATTTCATCTGGTTCTGGATATATTTACAGGGAATATATTTTCCAGCGATGCTCTTGGGGCCGTGGAAAAGTACGGTAGAGACTTGGCTGCTTCAGTAATGGAAAGAGCTGAAGCCATGTGCAGAAACATCAACACCAGCAACGTACGCACATCCTCAACCCACTCTCTCTATATAGTCTCTTTTTGTTTAGTTTTGTTTGATTTTCTTCTAAAAATTGTGCGTGTCTTGACGGGTTTGGTTTCTGCAGATCAAGATGGAGAGAGTTATTGGGAGTGGAGATGCCAAGAATGTAATATGCAGCGCTGTGCAGAAACTGAAGGCTGACACGTTGGTCATGGGAAGCCACGGTTATGGCTTCTTTAAGAGGTAGTACAATACCACTGAGGCACTGAACCATTTTTCTGAATTCTAACGGTTGTGTTTGGAATTAAATAAACGATTTGATCACTGAAAAAGTTTCTCCACGCGAACTTGCAGGGCACTTCTGGGAAGCGTTAGTGAATACTGTGCCAAGCATGCTAAGTGTCCTGTTGTAATTGTGAAGCACCCGTAATCGAATTATTTTCCGTCTTTTCCCCCCTTCTTCAACTCTCTATATGCTCTTTCAGGAAGCAGGCTCCTAGGCATGCTTATCCGACACAAATTTCAAATTTGTATAACTTGCCTTTGCATTAATAAAACTAGCTGTTGGTGGAAAAAGCTACACCAGTTGGAATTTGGGGCTCTAATTGGAGTCAAGAAACAGCAACTTTCCTTGTTTCAAATTTTCTGAGGTGCTTTATCTTCACAATTTTGTAATGTTATCAAAAGCCAACGTCGGAACCCACGTGTACGCACCGGACTTGTTTTTCCTGATACTTCTATCCTCCTTTACTGTATAGTATGTATACATATGGTTCGTTATTATTGCTTTTTTTTGGGGGGGGGGGGGTAGGAATGTGGTGCATTATTTGAGAACGTAACGAAGAAGACACTAAAATTCCTAACTAGAGAGGACAAAGTCTTAAAGTTAATTACGTGTAATCTTGTTATATGTCAAGTGCAAACCAGAAGGCAGGGACGACCGAAAAATTGACGGGACGATATGATCTTCGAAAGGAGGGTAGATGCTGGATAAGCACTCGCCTTCACCATTAAATTTACAGGTAGTGACTAGATTCCCTGGCTGATTACCGAATGAAGGAATCCAGTATTCTTGACGATCTCTCCAAGTGGCAATGACAATCCTCTGCATTCTGCAATGATGAACTGCAGGGTTTCTCCTGCTTTCTAAAAGAGTGTATTTATTTATTGTAATTGTGACATACAAAATTGACTTGGTAGCAGAAAAAAAAATAAAATTGGTCAACGGGTAATGGTTAATTTTAAAAAGAAGGCGAGCAAGAGGATAGAACAAAAGGGAGAGTAAGTAACGAATGGCGTTGAGGGAGAATAAATAAATTGTCCAAATTTGAATTTAAATTTCATGACTATATTTGGTATAGGTAATAAGTATCTATATTATTTAAATCATTAAAATTTATATTATTAATTTTAAATTTATACTTTATTTAAAGTAAATAAATGGATAAATTTATCTAAATTTTTAATTTAAATTTTAATGGTTCAATGCCCGTATTAATTAACATCACCAAATCTAATATGATTAGGCTGAAAGAGTCTGGTTAATATGATATCCTATTCTATGAACGTGGGCATAGATGTCAGGGCCAGCTGCCGCAAGTTGGCAGGGTGTGGAATGTTGACGCTGAGCAAATGGTGAAAGGCTGAGCCAAAGCAGCACGAGTTTTAAAACGCGAGCGGCAAGCTGAGCAGCTGAGAAATCCGCGTTTTTGACACCGGTCCAGCAAATTGAAGGGGCCAAGTCTTTCGGCCCTACTCCCGCGTCCTTTCCAAATAGCCCTCGTGGCCTGCCTCCCACACCCTCCCCCAATTTTGAGCTTTGATCCCATTCTTTTGTTCCCCCACCATTCCCTATATAAAACCCTCCCCATCTCTACCCCCCTCTCATACACTCGTACTCACACTATCATCTCCTCACTCTCCACATCCCTTCACCAAAATCGCACACCGGCCCTAATCACTCATCACTTCTTCATGGGCAACAATCCTTCTCAGTCTACTGGCTTCTTCAAGGGCGGACATAAAACTGTTGTGCTCTTGGACACCGCCGGCAACATTCGTAAACTCAAGCTGCCGGTAACATCGGCCGACATCATGATCGAAGAACCCGGCCACGTCATCGCCCCGGTGGATGAGCTCCACAGAACGCGACGCATCGCGGCGTTGCCGGCGGATCATGAGCTTCTGCGGGGGAAAGCTTACATGCTGGTCCCAGCTGGCAGGGTTCACTCCAGGGCATCGGACTTTGAAATAGCGATCACAGAACCATGGGATTCCGAGAAGAGGAAAACCAAGAGGGGCTGGGAAAGCAGGAGAAAGAAGGGGGTGAGAGGAAATATGGCAAAGGTAATACCGGTGGCGAGCACGGAGCAGGGACCGAGTTTGGTGTTAAAGCGGGAAAGATTCGGGAACCAAGGACGCTGGAGTCCTGCACTAGAGCCGATTTTGGAATCCCCTTAAGATTTCGCCCTCTAATTCTATATTTTGATCATACCCTGACACCTAAATTTTGCCTAGATTTACACTTGAATTGATCGAGTTGCATCGACGGCAAGTTAGGAGCTTAGATATTGCCACAATTTTACACCAAATGTAAAGAGATTTTACTTTTCTGATACATATATTCATATTGATTCGATTTGATCTAAACGACGGCAATTCTCTTCATTCCATGGAGCTTTTTCTCCTCAATCTCCCGCCGTAGAAAAGGTGAATTTTTCTTTTTTCCGTTACAAAATGATGTTCTATTATCTATGTTGTATTTGGGCGGATGTACTCCCCGGCCGAAAATGAAACAAAAAGGCCAAAGCTCGACTGCTGAACAAAAATGTTTAATAGGCCCAAAAATGGCCTCTAAACGAGTTCGTACCCAAAAAAAAAAAAAATACATAGTCCATTGCCTTATGCATAGGATGATATGGACAATACGCATAGGTATTGTGCTTGTTTTAAATTTAAGTTAGAAGTCAGGACTTTTCTTTCTTTGTCACCCTGCTTAAATTGACTTAAATAATGGCATTACATATTTTTAAGTTTGAAGGACCGCAATGAACCAGTTAATTGTATTTTTTAAAAAAAAATCATAATACTAAATTTGACGACGTCATTCAGCCTAATCTCGTGGATTTTATTCCGGAAAGAAATCTCTTAAGTTTTATGGTAACCATCGTTGGTTATGCTGATGACATTATTTTTTTTCCATTTTGTCTATTTTATGTGACATGGCAATCAACACGATTAATTATTTATATCATTGCTTGCCTTTTTTTAAAAAAAAAATGTTGCTTAAATAATTCCATCGACCCGAAGAAAAACATCCATTTCGATTTTGAGGAAAGAGGCGAGTAATTGTCAGGATCTAACAAACACGAATAGACAAGATTACTTCTGATTTAAATTTTTTCAGAAGCCAATTTGGAAAGTGACATTAGACATTAGTTAATTGATGAAAACCGTATGTTACTTCAACCGTATGCTATTTTTCAACCTACCGCTGTAATGTCGTATATTTCAAGAAAAAAATATGCTTCTGAATCAATAAATTATGCGGCATAAATCTTGCTAGTTACTATATTAGATACAATTATCAATTATGAATGCCATGTGCAAGGAGCGAAGGAAAACCGTATGCAAAACTGTTCAGTCTTCAGTCTTCACAAGTAAAGCCGTTCGTTCATTTCACATGTGATTTAATTATTGCGTGCAATATAGGGCATCCTCTGTTGTGAAATGACTGAAATCTAGTACTTTTCTCAAGATTGTAAGGTTTCTATAGCGAGAAAATGCCCTAATCTCGCTTCTTAATTCAGTTGGATGGTTAGTCTTGATTGACAATAACCAGGAATGGGGAAAACCTAATGAGAATTTCATGAAATTAATTATGGGAATCGAATCGGGTAATCATAATACAGTCGATGGTTGTTTGAGTTAGGTAGAAGCAGTGAAAAGGCTCTAAAAGATGAAGCTCTTAACCCCTTCAGATCAATTCACCATCTAAACATGGCAACATATTTAAGGATTAATCCAATTCCCGAGTCAAAGGCTGAATTTTTGTAGGTACCAAGTCCACCATTATATCCGTCACAAGATGGAGCGGTTTAACAAACTCAAATTCCGGCCTGTTACCTACATTATTCTCACTTGTTGCCCGACATAACGCCCACGCTTTTCTCTTTTAAGCTCAGTTTCAATCCTCCTCCGTTACACCCTACAACTTGAACACCCCCCCTTCTTCTGCTTCTGCCTTCTGATGGGAAACAGAATCTCGTTTGGTCCCTCTGATGGCAAAGGGAAGATTGTTCACTGGGACGGGTCTGTGGAGGAATTTGAGAAACCAGTAATGGTGGCGGAGCTTATGCTGGAGCATCCACAACAGGTGGTGGTGGAGTTCCACTCTGCTTTGAACCACAACAGGCCAGTCCCTCTGGCTGCTGATAAGAAGCTCGAGAGGAACAACGTTTATCTAATGCTTCCGTTGAGGCGGGGGAAGCCTGTTAGATTGAACAGCGAAGAAAGTCGACGCATTCTTCTGATGCTTCAGTCTGCTCTGCATTCCAAGTCTCTCTTGTTTTCTTCCAGGTTTCTTTCTCGGCTTGCTCGGGTGTGTCGCGAGAGACCCGTCGGGGAGAAGGTGTTGCAGAAAAATCAAGAGAAAGAGAACATTAGAGAGAGGTACGTGTGTTCTGAGTTATTGCCTGAAATTACAGAAAGCACTCCTGAGTATTTGAGCAGGCAGTTTTCTGGTAAGGAGTGGAAACCGAGCTTGGACACCATTGACGAGAAGAAGATTCAGGGAAAAATAACAGGCTGCCTGTTTCCCTAGGAGTGTCCGGTATAATGTTGCTTCTTCTTCCTTTTTTAATATCAAGGGCATTAAATCTTGGGTGAGGACTTTCTGCTTCTGATTCTGCTGTTTCGTTTGCGATTAATCTCAGCAACACCAACGAGTTTGGAGGCAGAACATGTCTTTAGATGTCAGTTTGTTGTGTTAAAATGGCAGTCTGCAGTCATCTCCTTTGATGTCCGGCTACAATGGAGGATTCAACGTGCAAACGTAAATTGAATTTACTATCTGAATATGAAGAGGCAAAACAATATTTAGGCATATTTTAGAGATAGTTCAGTTTTTGCCCGCGATATCATCACAACATCAAAAGATGAAAAACTTATCTTAGCCTTAAAAATAAAGTTTTTGAGTTAAAATCGTGATGACACAAAAGCTTCTGACCTCATATTGCTCAGTGAAATCCCAGGAATATAGAGACAAGATCAGGTGGTGACAGAGAGAAACCCAAAAAGGGCCTCTTTGATATTGTTTGAAGAAAATCTGGGGGGATAGAAAATGTTGAATGAATAGTGAAGTGAAATAAAAGTAAAGGTAGTTGCGTCCGGGACCAACGTGGTCTACGGGCCATCTCATTCGGCTAGACAAAATTCGGTTGAGTTTGAACGTCGTCTCTTCATTGTCCCTTCATTCTCTCCTTCATCAACGCTGGTAATTACTGATTTTATGAACTTAACCCCGACAGTAACCTGTTCGATATATTTCCTGTATGCTGTTCAGTTTACTATAATTTTAAAGGAAACGGTAGTGCTATTCTTTTTTCCCTTTTTGATAAGAAGCAGTTTCTTCCTCCGATGAATATGAAATCATAGTTACAGTGGGACATACTCTTTGTCTCGTCTGTTATTGCTAATAACGTGATGGTCTCATTTTCTTCATGTAAACTGATCAATGAGATATTCCTTAGCCAATTGACGCATTCATTCCCTGTTAAATTCCTCTTGTACATGCAAATTCCGTATTTAAATATTTTATTTAAAAATCGAAGTAGCATGATATTATTTAATAATTATAGGGATGCAATAAGCATTTCTTTAAAAATATATTTGAAATAATTATTAATTATGCAATAAAATGGGCTTCCATGTATTTTAGCTGCATTAAAAATGATTACCAAACCAACTCAAATGGGAGCAAGGATTCATAAATCGGTCAAGGCCCAAGTTGCGAAATAAGGGTGGGCTAAATGGGCACGTGGATTTGGAATTTGTAATTAGAGTTGAAAAAGGGTGGAGCTCGTATAGCTAACCTGTTTAGGTTCAAAAATTGTTAGGACTACCATAAAAAGTTTGAAGTTAAAATAGAAAATGGGTTCATAAGGGCTGGTCTTTTAGAGCAAACAGCCTAAAAATTTTTCATTGAATATTATTGACTACATTAATTTGTTGATATTTTTGATATTGTGGATAATTATGTAAATATTTAGTTGTCATACTTTTAGAATTAATCTTTTCATACTATTCTAATAAATAAATAAAGAGAAAATTAGCTCAATGGCATTGAAAAAATACAACTCCCATAAATTATAGATGAGGTTTTTGAATATTTTAAAATATGGCTCATTTATAAAATTAATTAAATGTATTTTTTTATCCTCCGAATAAATTTATTATTGAAATAGAATATATCTGGTTTAAGTAATCTTTAACTGTGAATCTTTTATTTTTATCATTAACAATCATATTGTGCATACTCCCTCTTTAATTTACTATTTCTGAATTTTTTTTCATCAAAATTTTTGATCTGTTTTTTCTATATCATCATATCCATATCTCATACAATGTTTTTTTTCATCATAATTTTTTATTTGATTTTCTTAAATTACCATTTTCATCGCAACGCTTTTCCTCTCTACCTCTCTATTTTCCTTAGATATTATGAAGAGAATATTAAACATTGAAGAGGAAACTCCATTATTAATCTATAATACTACATCATTTATATATGGCTGTATATCAATGACAAATAAATTGATAAATTTTCATTTATATGACTTATATTTTAGTGATATATAATAGTACATCATTAATATATTATTATAAATTAACATAATTAGACAATTTAAACATTAACTTATTTATAATTGATATATAACTGTTTATCAATAATGTAATATTACATATCAGTAACACAAAAAATATATAATTATTTATCCAAAACAAATCAAATATAGTTCACAAAAAATTTTAAACTCTTAGCTTTATTATAGAGAATTAAATACGTAAACTTATAATTAATCTGTAGCTCCATTTTCTTGTTCGTGTGCTTTGTTCTGTCGATGTATCTCACCTCACGTTTCTCTCTTGTCATTGTGACTGCAGCTTACTCACACTGCTCTTTTATCTACTGTTCATCTCTCTCACGTCAAGTTCTGTCTTATCTCTCGTATTTATTTCTCTCGTTTCAAAGATTTCTTACGTTTTGAATCTTTTGACATTTGAAAAAAGCATTTATTAAAAAGGATATTTTTATAAATTAATTATAATATAAATATAAAAAATGTCATTTTTAAAATTTAATAAAAGATGGGCTTTTTTTTCACTTGGTCTTATAACATGAGCTATTTGTGCAAAAGTCCCATAAATAAAATATAGGAAATAAAAATCAAATTTAACCGACTCCATCCTCCAAAAATATAAAATATCTATAAAAAAAATTTAAACAGCAATCATTTAAAATCAGGAAACGGAATAGATGGAGGTAGAAAATAGGTATTTTTTTATCGACAAAATCCATCCATTTTGATTATTCTTTTGATTGTTTATTGGGTCAGCATAGTCACTTGTCCATTGTATGGGAATTGGAAAGGATGATTCCAAGATGAGTGCCGTTTAGTTTGCATGCAAAGGCGACACCCTGACCCACAGCCCCAAGGAAACTTCATGTCCTCGTTTTTGCTAAAAGAGCCCAGGCCCGCATCTTTGATGGCATGTTGGATTAGGAACTAGTGCTTTCCCTCAACAACCACCCACCACATGGTGTTGTTATTGTTGTTAATTACTATCCTCTTAATATCATGTGTGGTTGTTATCCTAACTATTTCCTGAACCTAAACCACCATCACCACCCGCACTCTTCACTTTTTCTCTGAATTAAAGGATGAATTTCCAACCTCGGCATCACTCCACCTCCATTATCTGAATAATGTAACTAAAATTCTCATTCAATGATCAGACAATAGAAGAGCCAACCGATAAGAATTAGGGAGCAAGACATTGGTTTGCACTTTGCAAGGACTGGAAATGCTGAGGATTTCCTTTGGGACACGCCCCGCCCTCGCTCTGTGGTGCCAACATGCACCGTATCGTGACTTTCGGTATGGCCCAACAATAACATTCCATCCAAACAGACAAGCACACCAAGGAAAGGAGCACTGATTTTTATAGAATGAAATGTAAAACTAAAAAATGTAATTCCAAAAATTAGCATGGCGTTTCAAAGGTTGTGGGTTACACAATGAGAGAGGGGTGGAGCTTGGCGGATGATGAGTGACGTTTGGGCGTCGGGCAACCCAGATATAAAAGTCCAAGCACTCGATGAAGTTTCTTAACTTATAGGCTTTTAACAATTCCTATTGGTCACATCTCCGAGTAAGCTCCAGCTGTCGCTACCTAGCTCTCACGGTCGTGGTCATTAAGTTGCATACTAATTGATGCACCGTCTATTCCACTGCATCACCCAACTCAGTCAGTCCGGTAGTATGTAATCTTGTTTCGATTTTTAAATGGATGAATTTATGATAAAAGTTCTTGTTTTCCCAGGCCAATTTCCTCCAGCTATATTCCAAAACACCACTTATGTTTTGTAAATTGTGGTTAATCACCGACTAGTTGATTACTGACGTATCCAAGGCCATCTGAGCTTGCCTGTATTTGATTATATGAACCCCGCACTGCCACTATCTTTTTGCCATAACAAAAGTTTTATTACTTTTTTGTTTCCTGGGTCCCTATGTTAACCCTTAAGAATGTATGGCATAACGAGTCTCTGTAGTCCGTGGAGGAGATTTCGTGTCACCTTGTAAAACAAAGCAACTCGTGCCCCTTAACATAGATGCAGTGAATCGCAGGCGGCCCATCACAAGGATCTCGACGTATGCAAGAGATCATCAGGGAGAATTTTAGTCAAAGACTATTGTAGAGGCTAAAAGCTTATTTAATTTGTTTTCTGTTTTTAAAACTAGAAAAATTTAAAATTTATTTAGATAAATATTTTTCATTTAGTTATTTTTAAAATTATTTTTATTTTTTGTTTTTAAAAACAAAAAAATAAAAATAGCATTAAGTTATTTTCATTTTATTTTTCTTATTTTAAAAAAATGTTACATTTAATTATTAACAATTAAAGTTACCTTAATTAATTTTTATTGTTAATAACCCTCATTAACGGTCTATAATTATCATTATCAATTCAATTTTTCAATTCTAAAATTTTTTTTAACTGGTATAACCAAATAAATTTTTATTTTATTTTGTTGTAAAAACTGTATTGCAAAACAATTTTTAAAAATAAAAACTGAGAGCAGAAACCAAACAGGCCCTTAATTTTAGTTTTTTTTTTAAATTTCAATTTAGTTTAGGAAAAAAAGTCAAAAGAATTTTGATGATAAATGGACTAAAATATCCTTAACTTATTATGCAGAATCAGTAGTTATTAATTTTCTCATCATACTTGTTAATTTACTAATATCACTTGTAAATTATATCTCTATTTGTTAGATAATCAGTAACATTAATTATTAATTTAGTGATTTTATTTATTAATTTACTAACATCAGTTAAAAATTACAAGATCTGTTAGTAATTTGCAATTGATAGTACTAAATTATAAGACCTATCAATAATTACAACTAATGTTATGAAATTAACAAGTAAAGTTAAGAATTTAATAACTAATGATGTTGCTTATGATCAAACGACTAATGTTGAGACTTATATAATTATTAACATATCAACTTATATTTGTAAATTAAGAAGTCAGGTAAGAAAATTAACAGCTAGTAATTTTACATAACAAGTGAAAGGTATTTTGATCTTTTTACCATTAAAATTCTTTTGATTTTTTTCCCTGGAGTGAAGTAAAATTAAAAAAAAAAATATATACCCACCTAAAATTAAATCTCTATGATGATTCTTAACTGAAATTCTCTCATTAAATTATATGTTACGGAACCCTCCAACTAAAAGAAAGTACATTCTTTTGTTAAAAATATAATTAGCTTTTTAAAAAATTTGCATATAAATAAAGTTCTTAATTTCATAAATATATATATATATATATATATATTTTCCTTGTATTCCTAATCCTAACTATTAATATATTCTGTAATAAGCGAGAAATACATTTACATAAAAATATAAATTAACAAATGTAAGAGATAAAATAAAAAATATTTTTTATGCATATTACATTGCTTATACTTTGAACAGTATTAATTAATAAAAATGTTTTTTATTAATAAAAATGCTTAGAGTTTAAATTTGAGAGTGGCTAGTAAGTGAGTAGAGTTAGAAATATGGGCGGGCTCGGCCCTTAAAGGCCTAAACTTTAAAACCTGATTCTTTATTTTGAACTCCATTTTTCAAGCTCAACCTTTATATGAAAAGCTTAGGGTTAAGCCTGCAAGTTCTTTTCAAAAAAAATAAAATTAAATTAAACATTATAAATTAATTAAAATATTATAAAATTAAAAAAGTAAAATTCTCATACTTTTTTAAAAATTAAACAATACACATTTAGGAGTATAGTAATAAAATTTAAATATTGGTTAAAAAAAATTCATTTTTTATAAATACACAAATATAATAATTATAAAAAAATAAAAAATATCAAGAATTTTATACTATATACTGATATTTGTTAAATTATATTAAATTAAAATTAATAATAATATAATATGTGTAGGATTAGGTGAGCAGGTCACTGGTTTCAAATACGTGTTTCACAAAAGATGATGATGATGATATAAAAAGGCTTAAAGAGTTACCCGAGTCCTTACTCTTTTTTACAGGGCTTATCAAGGCCAAACCCTCAAGCCCGATTACTTTAAAAAAATCATTTTTAAAATTTGAACCGTTATTTAAATAAAATCTTTAAGTTTGATCCTTCAGGCTTGATCCTTATTCCTAACTCTAAATGAGTAGGGTTATTCACTTATCCTTCATTTTAAATAACAACTTTTTTTAAAAAAAAAATGCTAGATTTAAAGCAGACAAAGCTTCTGCAACACAATTTTTCTTCTTTTGTTAGGGCTGAAAACTTCTGCAACACATTATGGGCACCTTCCCAAGACAAACACTACTGACAGTTTTTCCATTAATGTTGTTTGGGAAGAAACCCTCGTCGCAAGTGGATGATTGATTTCTTCTCCTCTGTCCACCCATCACCGCACGTGTAGATTATAATACTGGGAATCCAATTACCATTCTCAAATATGTTAAGGGGAAAAATCCCCGACCTTTGATGTTAGGGTTCCATTCCATGGCGGGCCCTCAATCATGTCCTGGAAGAAAACTAACAAGTTAAAAGAATCATTTTTACACCAGAACAATTTAATATCAGAAAGTTATAGCCCTTCGTCCAAAGGCGGTCCTCCTCCCTTTCAGCTTTCTCTGCAAGTTGATCGACAATAACAGAGCATAAAAATAATAATACAGTGCAGCTGTCCCAATATAATTTCTGTTTTTTTTTTAAGTTGAGGTTTTGCTTTTCTTTCCTTTTGCAGTGCCATCACATTATGGTCTCATCTTCATGGTATACATATTATCCAAGCCATGGCAATGAGTATAGAGCTGTCCTCTTTCTCTGTTCTATAACAAGATATCTACAAAACCGACGACGCCAAGTAATTTCTCACGATTTAACTCCTAATATGTTGCTGTATGTTAATTTGCTCCGACACGCAATTCCATTTTAACGTATGGGCAAATCAATTTGTTTATTAACTCGGCAATAATGTGAGATTTACGCAACCTACTCTCTGTTGGATCCAAAACAACGTTAATGCAGGTGACTATATAGCATAACATCTTATTTGATTCAAACTAATCAAAGATGGAAGAGTTCACCTTGCATTGAATTCTTATCTTTTCCCGGTGGATCTTGAATACACTGGCGGTACCCCTTATATCTTCAAATAGTAAATCTTTGACTGACATAATATCACAATCTTCCTGATCAGTAAATATTTTTGAATAATTACTCCAAAGATGTCAATTCTTGTTTCCACGGAGTAGGTACGGAAGCAAATTAAAGGAGAAAACCAAAATGACTACGCACAGGCCATTAGCGTTGGGTTATGTACGGTGCGATCGTTTCTTTAAACTCGAAAGCCAGGGCCAAAATGTCTCATTGAAGTTTGGACCACCTCATCATTTTCTTGCTCGAGAAAGTTCCTGCTTGCCAGAGATGAGAAATGAAAGCCAGATAGGATAGCGTCGAAATATATTACCCTCAAAGCCACGAAAGTCAATCGGATGCATCTAACACCGCCCGTTGATTCTAATCATTATTATTATTAGTTCTTAATGCTGCGTAATACGCGTCACGCGGGCCCAGCGGCAGGCCGAGAACTGGAACGCCCATATCCATCCATATTTTGGACTAATGAGACTCTACACCCAATGTCCCCATCCCTAGCTACATAATATAATATACATGCACATGACACTGACCTTAGTGTGATGCAGAAGCTATGTAGTTACGGTTCAAAAGCAGCAGGTCGATTCTCTGATTTGTTGATTTCGCTTGATCCTGTTTTGTTAGTCACCAACCGTATTAAAATCCTTACCAGCCAAGTTGCGCTGATTATTCCCTTGTTATTTACAGTTCCTTATTCAGTAAAAAAAGAAAATGAAAAGAGAGCATGCACATCATGCATGATAATGGATATGGATATCATTAATTGTATATATACATATAACGCTCCCCGCGGTTCCATGCCTTCACTCGCACACTTATCCTCTCATCTTCCTCCCTCCCACAAATGGCTCTGTCAACGACGTGGTCACTGGTTACAGTGTACTTGGCGGTGATGATACTGCTGAGCGTCGTGGGGCAGAGGAGCGAGGCAGCAGAGCCTCTGGCCTGCAATCCCAGAGACGGCAACACCAAGAACTTGGCTTTTTGCAGGGCGTCGCTGCCCATAGCGGAGAGGGTGAGGGACCTGATCGGGAGGCTGACGCTGCAAGAGAAGGTGAAGCTGCTGGGCGACAATGCGGCGGCGATTCCACGGCTCGGGATCAGAGGCTACGAGTGGTGGTCGGAGGCGCTGCACGGGGTTTCCAATGTGGGTCCCGGGACCAGGTTCGCTCCGCCGTTCCCTGCCGCCACGAGTTTCCCTCAAGTCATCACCACCGCTGCTTCTTTCAATGCTTCCTTGTGGGAGGCTATCGGACGGGTCAGTGTTTTCATATCTCCTTCTTCTTTTTTTCAAAGACCTCCATCTTCCACTTGCTGATTTCCAAAATACAAATGCTACGCTGGTCACCTTTAGGTTGTTTCTCTTTTCGTCAAACTTTGGCTCTGCTTTGTTAATTAGTAAGTATCGGCAGGTACTTATAGTTTTTTTTTTTTTTTGGGTCCCTTTTGCTGGATTTGGATGGAGGATCAGTTATTTATAAGACTTGTTTTGCAATATGTTTTGAAAGCAGTTTTATGTTTTGAGAAAAAAAAAACAACCAAAAAAAAAGTATTGTTTAATAACGTATTTTTTTTAAAAAAATTAAATGTTATTATAGAAAGTAAAAAAATTAAAATATTTTTTAAATGTTTTGAGATTATTATTTTAAAAAATAAAAAAATTAAAAACACTTATTATTATTATTATTATTATTTTTTAAGACAACAGTTTTCAAGCAGCGTGGCTCTTTTATCCTGGCCCATTCTCAGTTGGATTCTCTAGCTCGGCTTCCCACTTAAGCCTACTAGTAGCTGTATAGTGTAGGACGAATCTCGCGCTAACAAATGGTTCTTGAATTAAAAGGCCCCATGATATATTTCAATCGATATAGGGACAGGCTCTCCTCCAATAAAAGTATGAAACATCCGCTCTGAATCTCACCTCCGAAAGTGAAAAATAATTATTAGTCAAAATCTTAAGTCACTCTTTATTAACAACTTTTAGGGGGGAAAACAAAGAAAGAAGGGCGACGCCAACAAAAAGGGCCTTGTGAGTAGAAGATAATTGTTGGCCTCAATCTCATGATTTGACTAATTACTACTGATCAATATTGTCTATGTTTTATTATAGTTGTCTTTTAATTTTTTTTACATATGGATTAAGAAGTACTTCCTCTTATCTTGTTTATAGGATAAAAAAAAATCTTTTTTAATTTTATTTATAAGTTACGTCATTAAATTTTTATTATAAATTTTTTTATTTTTTATTAAATATTGGAGGGAGAAAATATGTCATTGAATTGTATATATTTAATAAGAATAAAATTAAAAAGTTATTAAATTTTAAAATAAAATTAATGAATTTAAAAATTTTCTTTTAACATGGTTGCTCAAAACATGAAAAATGTTAGTAAATATTATTTTTAAATTATATACAAAAATTTATAATATGCAATAAAAAGTTTATCCTGGAAAGACTAAGTAAAAGAAAAGAAAGGAGGGATGACAATACCAGAAAGGGAGGCGACGAATTTTAGAGGACATCATTGATGCATCGCTTTGAATGAGGCAACTTTTTATCAAGAAAGAGAGAAGAATTTCGTAGATACTCACGAGCGAGCGGGGGAGCTTTGATTGCTTGGACGTGGAAGTGAGGGAGCATTCTGAACACAAGCCGTGGTTGCCTTTAATGTTCAAGTTGCATGTGGGCATATGGCGGTCGCTGTGTGACATTGATCGGCTTCTTTTGCTAAGCAACTTGCAGATCGTGCGTGCCAGCGAGTCCCAGCTCACGAAGTTTATGAACCCTGAGGCCACTACAAACATAGTCCACGTTCATAATTATTAATTAATAAATGTAAAACAAAATCTAACACCGCCAGGTGTATGCTACGTGCAGGCTGTGTCGGACGAAGCGAGGGCAATGTACAATGGCGGAATAGCTGGGCTCACGTACTGGAGCCCAAACGTGAATGTTTTCAGGGACCCGAGGTGGGGGCGTGGACAGGAGACTCCCGGTGAAGATCCCGTCCTCGCCGGTACATATGCCGCCAGTTACGTCAACGGGCTCCAGGGAAACGACGGTAACCGGTTGAAGGTCGCTGCTTGTTGCAAGCACTTTACCGCTTATGACCTCGACAATTGGAACGGGGTGGATCGCTTCCATTTTAACGCACAGGTACACCCGTTTTCATCTTATTCAAATTTTTAAATACATCTCTTCTATTCCAAGTACTTTCTTTAACATTTTTATTAGCAAAAACAAAAGGGCGCATAGTTAGTCTTCACGTTGAGATTGAGATGAACAAAAGTGACTAAGAAAATGAGAATCTGTTGACATGTTGCAATTCATGAAAAGTTACGTTAACATGAAGCGCAGCTAGAGTGTGAGGTGGTTTATAATTACTATTACCACTGTTGTTGTTAATGACAAAATGAGTTAATTGTAGCATGGTGGATTTTATGATGGTGTCGGGGATAAGATACTTTTTGTGAGCAAGTTGGGCAAGCCCAATAAAACAAAGGAAAGGTCAGTGACAAGAGCCCAGCTGACGAGGACGGTTAAATGATGGCACAGGTTAGCAAGCAGGACATAGAGGATACGTTCGATGTGCCGTTTAGAATGTGTGTGAAGGAGGGCCGCGTGGCCAGCGTTATGTGCTCTTACAATCAAGTCAATGGTGTCCCCACCTGTGCCGATCCCAAACTCCTCAAGAAAACAGTTCGCGCCCAATGGCGTCTTGACGGGTACGCAACCTAACCCACATCATATTTTCATTCCTCGCCCCTCGTATTTTCAACATCAGCTTATTCACCCTTTTGACTTCTCTTTTTCTTTGCCATGGCATAAATACACAGATACATTGTATCAGACTGCGACTCTGTTGGGGTGCTCTATGCAAGCCAGCATTATGCATCATCACCCGAAAAAGCTGCTGCGGATGCTATCAAAGCAGGCTAGCCAAACCATTCTTTCCTATTCCTCTTTCCCTGGAATCAATCACATAAGTATCTAGCCTAACTAATCCTGAAAATGGGAACTGTGTTTCAGGATTGGACTTGGATTGTGGGCCTTTCTTGGGACTGCATGCGCAAGATGCGGTGAAGAAAGGGTTGTTGAGAGAAACCGATGTGAACGATGCTTTGGTGAACACCTTAACGGTCCAGATGAGACTGGGTATGTTTGATGGAGAGCCCTCGAGTCAGCCATATGGGAAGCTGGGTCCTGCAGATGTGTGTTCTAAGGCTCACCAAGACCTAGCCCACGAAGCTGCCGTACAAGGAATCGTTCTCCTCAAGAACTTCGGCCCTTCTTTGCCTCTGTCGTTGCGTCGTCACCGCACTGTCGCCGTCATCGGCCCTAATTCTGATGCCACTGTTACCATGGTTGGTAATTATGCCGGTAAGACCAACGAACTCTGTAGGCTTTCACGAGCCCAAATGATAAACATACAATTATAACTTGCTCCAAATTTACAGGTGTTGCGTGCGGATACACGACTCCTTTACAAGGAATAGGGAGATATGCCAAGACTACACACCAATTAGGGTGTGCAAATGTGGCTTGCGCCGATGACAAACTATTCGGAGCGGCTATCAAGGCGGCCCAACATGCTGATGTCACGGTTCTTGTAATGGGCCTGGACCAATCACTTGAGGCCGAAACAAGGGATAGGGCTAGCTTGCTCCTACCGGGGCGTCAACAAGATCTTATTTCTAAGGTGGCAGCCGCCTCCAGGGGCCCAACTATTCTGGTCTTGATGTCTGGTGGGCCTCTTGATATAACTTTTGCAAAGAAGGATCCACGAGTTGCGGGCATCTTGTGGGCAGGTTATCCGGGCCAAGCAGGCGGAGCTGCTATTGCCGATATCTTGTTTGGAGCCGCTAACCCGGGTTAGTTTGTTTGCCTTTTTTTTTTAAAAAAAAAAAAAACAGTTAAACCGTCCTTGTGGCCAGATGCTTAATTTGAAGTTGAAATGTAACATTCATTGATTTGCAGGAGGGAAGTTGCCAATGACGTGGTATCCACAAGAGTACCTCACAAACTTGCCGATGACAGATATGAGAATGCGTGCGAGCCAACCCACAGGGTACCCGGGAAGAACGTATCGGTTCTACGAGGGTCCGGTGGTTTACCGATTTGGGCACGGATTAGCCTACAGCCAGTTCGTGCAGACAGTGGCAAGTGCACCCACGCTGGTGTCGCTTCCAGTGGACGGACATCGCAAGGTCAACACGACAGACTTCTCAAAGAAGGCAATAAGGGTGACGCATGCGAGATGTGGCAAGCTCTCCATAGCCCTTCATATTGACATTAAGAATATGGGCTCTAAGGACGGAACCCACACCTTGCTAGTGTTCTCGGCGCCGCCTTCCGGTGGTCAATGGGCCCCGCGCAAGCAACTAGTGGCATTTCAGAGGGTGCACGTCCCGGCTAAGGCCCAGCAACGAGTCCAAGTCAATATTCACGTTTGCAAATTCCTGAGCGTGGTTGACAAGTCTGGAATTCGGAGAATTCCGTTGGGTCAACACAGTCTTCACATTGGGGATACCAGACACTCCGTTTCACTTCAAGCTCAATCCCTTGGGATCATCAAGACCTGATTAGTTTAATTCCCCTTATTTGCATGATTGGTGTGAGATTATAATAGGCGTGGCAGGTAACTGTTAAGGAAACAAACATTTTATAGGGGATTTTAGTTCTGTGGAACCCTCAATTGAAAGCGTAAGCTATGTTGCCCGAGACGACAGGATCGATTGATGCTTCAGGAGAAGAGATTAAGGAAATTCACTCTTCTCATTTTAAATTTCTACTTAATTTGTGTACAATTCTTTTATGTGTATCATGAACATGAAAAAGCACTCGGTCCCTTCCATTTATCTCTTTCCTAGGACAAGTAATGAGAATGGATGCCTCGAGCTCCCATTGTGCAGTGCGATGTCTTTAATTCTCACTTACATGTCATAACCAAGCATGCTGCATGTGCCATACGAATTTCTAATCCCATATGAATTTGAAGGGCGTATTAACTATTGAGCATTTTTTTTTTCCCACGCATATTATTATTATGCAAATTACTCGCTGGCCGGCTTGGGCTTGATGGGCCTATTATTGGGCCAATGAAAACGCATGCCCATGCAATGCAAATTGCAATCATTTTCCCGCACCAAAACTAAGGATATGAAAGGCAGTAGTGCAATAAATTCGCATCACCGTGAGACTCTGAGCCTTTTACAGGACCAAAACTAATTATATGAGAGCTTAAACAATGTAGTTCACCGAGAAAAGAAAGGATGGGAACACGATTATTGCTGTACCATTTGTGGGCTGTCAGCCATAGCAATCCCTCGAATCTGTTTTCATTTCATTTAGTGGAATGTCAATCATGTGAGAATGACCGTTGAAAAATTTAAAAATACATAAACAGGAACGCGCATCATACTTGTCAATAAACTAGCACATATGCGCATAATTAGTTTTGGTTAAATAAAATATGCGATTTGTTTCCTTGGGTGACAGTGTGAACTCAAACTGCAATCTTGGGCGATTACATGATCTTCCAAGTAGATCCCGGAAGAGTCGTCCACAATGCCACGAGAACGTATTTTGTTGTGCTTCTGACTTCTTGCCATTTCGTCAAAACGCCCAATAATACTTGTATCACATCATTATTGGTCAAGCCGGCGGATCCAATCTGTTCGACATGGCTCGTGGCTGTGTATCTAATAAAAAAGGGGGTAATAAGTCAGACTCTTTCAATGGAGATGAACTGTTTTTTTTTTTAAAAAAAAAAAACTGTTCAATTACAATTAACAACACTATTCACACGCCCCAAACGTTATATGTATTACATGTACACACAACATGTGACATATTATTGATCTAATTTGATTTTTCATCGACTTTTATTAAATAGAAGTACAGATCAATATACATATGTAAACGCTTCCCGTGAGTCAGATCATCGCAAGTGTCGACATTAATTTTGCATTTATGAGTTATGGACTCATGGCCCCCTGTTTTGCTGGGTGATGGAGGGAACAACATTATACTGTCTTCGAGAGATAAGCTCGACATGTATTCTAAACATACATAGAAGTGTGATAAATATCAAACCTCTAATTGGACCAAGAGGAAATGTTCTTTATTGCGTGGTCAAAAAAATAAAATGTATTTGCCAATCATCTTGTGTCTTCTAAAGTATTGGTAATTTTCCCCCCAGCTTAGAGAAACTACATGAAATATTTTTGTCAATTCGATGACAAGTTTAATAAATTAGTCATTTAAATATACCCGTGAAATGTGAGATGAAAGAAACTAGAAATAGTATATAATTGGAAAAATAGGGAAACTAGAATATAATGATTAATGGGGCATGTGGGGAAATAATACCGTTAAAAAATATATATATTTAGACGAGTGCTTACCAATGAGTTTATAGTTGGGGCCGGGTCAGCCTCCAGATAGGCGATGAACACAGGCAATGATGAATCATGTGACATGTGACTCAACCAACATAGAACACTGAAGATGCCATGTGCTTCGCCAACAAAATCACACCCATCTCCCCCGTATTATTAATTGGTGTATAGTCGTGTGTTTGTAATATGATGTATAATTCAGCTGCAACCATAACTCCCCATTCAATTGAAGCAGGCCTATCCGCCAGACCCACAATTGTGAATACTCAATTCGGAAAAAAAAGAAGAAGAATAAAGGCCATTTTATGTATTTTGTGGGAAACAGTGGAATGCACATCATCCTACTTTCTTTTGTCTTGGATTGGGAAAATATTCTCTTGCGAAGCAAAGTGCAAAGTAAATGAATCATGGGTGAGAATAATGACTAGTTAAATACATATTAAACCAAAACAATGCTTGTCTTGCAATTCAAGTTCTCTCTTTTAATCTGAACTTGAGAGATAGCATTGGTGCCTACCGGGAGGGGAATTCCTTGGAATATCTTTTCCATAAACAAAAGGAATAAACAGACCATGGAGCTAAGCGAACAGTAGGGAAAGACCTTTTCTTTTCCCCTTCCACTATTATTATTCAAAGCATACAACTTTAGCAAAGGCTGACTTATTGGGATGGGCTCAATAAAACAAATCCCTGACCAGAGAAATATATAAAAAAATTCTGAGATCTGTTGGTGCAGTTCACGGGGCATGAGCTATTGGGGCATCCCTATGAAACACTATATTGCAGCCTACTTCTCATCTCCTTGTCCACTCCAGCTAGATTGTACTGCAACAATTATAAATGATATGAGTATAATTTCTTGTAAATTTTTATCCCTATGAAAATCTGCAAATTACTGGGACACCCCTGTGCCCTTTCCTCCATGGGATCCGTCAGACTGTTGGCTTTTGATAGTTCAGCTTCGTGATCCGTCCGTATGAAGGAACAAGTGAAGTGCACTTATTGATTGAATGTCCTACACAAGATAAGCATTAGGGGGAAAATGAATTAATGAAAGACACAAATAAATAGTGAATAAAAAGGTACGGCTTTAAGTGGGTGGCGATCATACCGGTGCACGAATAAAATTGCGAATGATGACGAGACAGTAGAGAGAGAAGGAGGTAAATTATGTGCAGTGGTCCAAAACAAATGTTGCGTACTCCTACGTGGGAAAGAGATGAATCATTGGGGAGGAGGACGAGGTGTGTGGAATTGTCAATAACACAGCACAGAATCTTCGGCCTGTCATCGTATTCATTTTCGGCTATTTAGATTAACCACGCAACTGCATTTATTTCAAACCAACCCATCATTCATTCAGTTTTGTGCTACGGTTTGCATTTTTATTTTGTAATGCTATATTTGGCCAATTCGCTCGCTGCCATTACTTTTCTCTGTCACTGAGAGCCCTTTTCAGACTTTAGCTCGCCGCTTTTTCTCTCCCTTGTTTTTTTCTTAATTCTTTTCAAATTAAAATATTAACTTCATTTGGTGTCCTGCTGTTTTCATTGTGTTAATCTATTTTGCCATCGCAGTGTTGGACGTGTTGCACTAAAACGTGTGAGGGTGACATATATAGCATAATGCAGATGGGGCGAGGTTTGATGAAATCATCAGCATTCAGCGATAATGCTATGATATACATATTATAGTAGCATATTGTCAAAATCTCACAATAATGGGTTATCCGCTAACAGAATAACGAGGTTTCTTTCCTTAATCCATTTCTTCTCCTTTTTAATGATGCAACAGAAGACCCACTAAACTGATCGATAATTTAATTTAATTCAATTTGTCTGACTTCTCTGTTCAGCTATAATTGCTTATACCGTGCCAAGTGTCAGGCTCCAGAACGCAATTGGCAGCTGATCCCTCTCCCGCAGGTCACCCCCACTAGGAAAAAAATAGCGAAACAGTAGCATGAATCTGCTCCAATATTTTTGAGTCTGGGATCACACTTTTTATTTTATATTCATTAAACAGATCAAGCCTTAACAAAGAGTGCTTAACTGGCAGTTCAGAGAATGACTTGGCAGAAAACGCATAATTGTCATTAAAAAAAGCGAAGAAATAATAATACATCGTCATCACGAAACACTAATGACCTCAACTCAAAGCTTATGGAATGTCCTAGAATTTGAATTTTGAATTCAAGCTGCATTATTAGGAAACTTTTCTGAGGGGATAAGCAGCAGGCAGATCAGTGAGCAGTGGTCTGAAGAAGTTGGACTTGGTTGGCCATTTCGGGCTAACAAGAGAGAGAGCAGCATATATTTGAGTATTAGCTTAGCTTGCAAAGCCAAAAGGCGCACATGGGTAACATCCCCACGTGAAACTTCATCCATAACACACATGCATCCCACAGACCATTTAATTTGCGCAACACACACAAGATATAAATATTGAACAGTGAAACTGTGAAATGAATAGGAACATATGTGAAGATTAAGTCAGTGAATTAATGTGCAGTCGGATCGACTAAAGAGATGGCATATATATGAAGACGTTAGTCGTGCGCATTGAGAACAAAACCTTATCCAGCAGCTACCTCCAGTCTTATTCACAGTGGAATCTTATGGCCTTTCGCGTCTCACTTTAATTTGCCTCCTTCTATACAAACATGTCTTTGCGAGCTAGCTATGAGCTTTTCTCCATTTTTAATCATTAAATTCCTCTTTCTTTTACTTATATAGTTATATATAACAGCTCTTTCCCAGGAAAGTAAGATTGCAAAGGCTGGCTGTGGCTGATGATTCCTTCGTTAATTACCATTAATATTTATATAATGCCAAAGGATCCTATTGCGTAAGCAATGGCCAACCTGGGCAGAGCATCCTAGGCTTCCAACTATGCGTCTTAGTTTAACAGTACTCCACATTCTCCATAATTATTTCTGTTGTTGCCCCTGTTCTTCTGGTGTGTGTATCTAGCTTTTATGCAATAATTAAGCAGCTCAGTTTTTATGCTTCACATAAAGGAAAGGAATGCTTGGTAACTAATTAATGATTACGATTTCTTTAATGCACAACCATATGCATGCCTTCGTTTATTGGGCAGTTATACTTGCTTATAGGCAATAATAATCAGAGAGATTCTATTTTAAAACGTCTATTAATTTGGTCATGAGTGGTTTGTTGGTTGATTATTTGGGCGAGTAACAACATTATTCATAATTGATTGATTCCCTAATTAACCAATCAATTTCATTATAATAAGTACTTTCTTGACAAAGTTTAAAAAATTTGAGTATGTAAAATGATGACAGCATCATTCCCATGAACTATTAATTACACCCTTTTGCTGATCTGATTAGTCAGTAGAAGCATTAATTATTCTCACCACAGGGGTTAGAAAAAATAACTATCTAAGCATCATAGCTTCCAATTATTTCATGGATTCCCTATTCTTAGAAAGACAGTAAGTCAATACCGAAAAGGATACTTCTTGATTACTTGTTTTTCAGGCTAAC